GAGTGGACGATTAGAAAGTTTTTTTTTTGGGACAAAATGGTCATTTATTATCAGAAAATAAATTTAATACATTAATAAAATTTTATCATCAAATAAATATGAATTGTTCAATTTAATTATTCATATATATATATATATAACAGTATCTTTTACTTCTCCAGAGATGAACTACATGAAAATTACACTTTGTTTTATTGATCCACCCATAAACCACATGATGTATATGAGTGCATTGTAGATTTCGCCATATTTTCAACTAATTAATAGTTACATTCCTCTCCAAAGTTAGTTTTTAATGTAACTTAATTTCTCTTATTTATTTACCTTATTAGGTGAAGTCTCTAAAGGACTATTAATGCAAGTGGTGTATTTATGCACCATGAAAATTGACCGTAGATATAATAGTAAAATAATAAACAGTTGAGATATTTAATCTATAAACCTTTTATGATTAAGATTTTGAAATTATAGATTAGTCCTTTTGTTTTTCTTAATTGTCAATCTTTTTGATAACAAGGTGCCCTCCAACTCGCAACACTCCGCCACTCTCATCATCATCAGCAGCACCTGGCTCCAAGTGAATTCTGTTGCCGAGAGCCAAACCCAAGGCCCGCATCCCGAGCTCAAACGACAAGGCAGCGTCTTTGGTGGTGATTCCGGAAACCAAGGGACACATGTCGGAAAGGACAACGAAAAACCCTTTTTGGGCGGGAGAGAGAGCCTTGAGGCGGCAATGAGGGAGCGTGGTGACGCTAGTGGAGAGGGTCCGGACCCTGAAATCGCAGTGGAGAGGGGGAGGCTTGATCTTCTTGGTGTCGACGCCGAGGACGGAGCCGCTCGCCCACCCTAAAACAAAACCCTAAAAAAATTGACAATTAAGAAAAATAAAAGGACTGATCTACAATTTCAAAATCTTAATCATAAAAAATTTATAGATTAAATATCTCAACCGTTTATTATTTTGAGATTCTTGAGCCATAGGAAACAAGCATTATTGGTCCATTTTCATGGTGCATAGATACACCACTTGCATTATTGGTCCTTCGGAGACTTCACCTTATTATTATTACTACTACAGTTTGCACTACTATAAATTTTTATAAACTTTTGAATTTCATTTCATATTCTTATTTGTGTCTATAAATTTTTATAAACTTTTGAAGTTCATTTCATATTTTTATTTATGTTCTATAAGCTTAAATAAATACTTAAAGAGTTCTAAAATTTCTTTAAAAATTCTTATAAATATAAATTCGTGTTCTAAACATAATTTTATAACAAATTAAATTCAAATGATAAATAAATAATATACGTATATAAATTTGAGGCATTACAATTTTGTTCTTTCAAAATTTAATAAAATATTTTTAGTCATTTAAATATTACAAGTGTGTGATTTTTAGTCACCAAAATATTGTAATTATACATTTGTTACCTATTTAAATAACATATATTATTAATTTTAATAGTAATAAACAAATATATATCATTTAATACACAAATGAAATTTTCAGTATATGTAACTTAAATATATTAAAAATTATATAATTACAATATTTGAGGAACTAAAATCATATAATAACGATACTTAAAGGATTAAAATTGTTTAATTAAAATTTGAGAAATCAAATTTACACAATTACAATATTTAAAGAGACTAAAATTACTTAATTAGATTTTTAAAAACCAAAATTACATAATCACAATATTTGAAAAATAAAAATTAATTAAACTTTCTTTTCACTCTCTTATATTTAGAAGTTAGAACCGGAAGAGTTTGTTGTTAACAAGTATATTTTTAGCATGGGGTTCAATAATGCATTTAAAAGGCAAAAGATAACCTGCAACGCAACTCATATGCATTCAAGCCGTGGCTAAGATAAAGCCTTAGCCTCATTCATGTTCTCTCTCTCTCTTTTCAATACATTTATACAAGAATAAGTTAAATATTTATTATACATAATTAAAATTTATAATAATTATATATAAAAATAAATATTATATTTGAATACATAGATTATATTTAAAATTTTTATAAATAGATATTTCTAAACATATAAATTATATTTTAAATTTTTGATAAAAAGATTTATAGTATAATACAATATTATTTTTATTTATTGATAATTAATTTTAATAATATAAAAATTTAATTCATAAATTATAATAAATAAAAGTTAATTAGAAAAAAAATTAAAAATTCCAAAAATTTTGTCGTTAAAGAAAAATTTCTAAAATTACTCTCACAAGAGAAAGTTTCGTGGTCAATATACAAAAGATGATTAATTCAAATTTAAGTTATTAGGTGATATATATTTTATTATAGTATTTATAGTTATCTTATTGATAAAATTATATAATTTAAATACATGTATACACACAAGAACACACACACACATATATATATATATATATATATATATCATTCGGAGTGTTTTCAGCTTCCATTTTCAAAGGCTGTATTAATGCTCTAAAAAAATAACATTGAAATGAATATAACACTACTAGAAAAGTGTCATTTTCTTGTGAATTTTCCTACAAAAAAAATATTCGCAGAAATTTTTTGCAAATTTTCTTGCAAAAAAATATTTACAGAATTTTTTTGCGAATTTTCCTGCAAAAAAATATTCACAAATGTTTTTTGCGAATTTATTTGCAAAAAATAATTTACAGATATTTCTTACAAATTTTACTACAATTTTAATAATCATAGAAATTTTTTTCCATGGTAAAAATTTGTAGAAAATATTGTAAGAATTTTATTTTATTTCTTGCAGATTTTCTTACAAAAATAAATTCTGCAAGTAATTTTTACTAAATGGTAGAAAAATTTTGCAAGTAACTTTTCCTGCGGATTTTCCTGCAAATTTTAATTCACAAGAAAAATAAAAAAAAATATTTAAATTTTTAAGTTTAATATTTAAAAAAAACTTCAAGTCCCACATCGATTGAAAATAAAACAATTAAAGAGTATATAAGTTGGGGCAACACTTACCTTACAAGTTGATTTGTATGGTTGAGTGTTAAGTTTATAATCTACAGTCTTAGAATTTAAAAGATTATGTATCACATGTTGGAGGCATGGAAATAAATGTTTCAGATGAATTCATCGTGAGCATTTGAAAGTTAAAAAATTATTGATAGAATTTATAGTAAAATTTTTAATTTTTTTCGTAAAAAATATTCCTGCAAAATTTCTTGCGAAAAAATTTGCAGGAAACTTTCTTGCGAAATTTTTTTTGCAGGAAACTTTCCTGCAAATTTTTTTTTGCAAGAAACTTTTCTGCGGATTTTTTTCGCAAGAAATTTCGCAGGAAAATTTCCTGCGAATTTTAAAATTCGCAAAAATATATTATCCACGAAGGTATTACCTACAAATAAAATTTCGCAAAAAAATTTGCAGGAACAACGTTTCCTACGAATTTTTATGAAAATTTCACAGGAAAAATCGCATGTAATAAAAGAAGTTCTAGTAGTGTAGCAATTAAAATTCATAAAACAGTATAATCCATTAAAAAATGATATAAATGTTAGTGATGATTAATTTTACATTTGAAATAGTTACACGAGTGTCGTTTGAACTCTCCTCTTTTAGGGTTTAGGGTTTAGGGATACCAATGTAAAAAATTTAACCAATGTAACTTTTACTAAGTGTTACACCGCTCAATAACTTTATATTAAATGTGAATTTTAAAAATTTAACCGTTAGATTGAAAGTTCATATCTCTTAGATCATATATATCAAATTTTATATTAATCTAAGATGATTTGATACTCCATTCTCATAAAATAAAATTGACGTAATATATACATTTCAAAATATACTAAAATATTAACAATTTGATTACCTTCAAATTGTTGTTCAATTTTAACAAAATTTGACATAATAATTTTACCGTTCAAAAAATTAAAATAAAATTTGATGAATTGTATTTGAGTAGGACTCGATTATAAAATTTGAAGAACTTAAAAAAATCTAGACATGGAAATTATATGGCCTCACGTAAAAATGCATAAGGCATAAGGAGTTGTATGGATTGCTGCATGACCGTGGCGATCTTAGTGTTGTGTATAGGTTTTTTTAATCTTTCTTTTACACCATGTGATGTAGGAGTTTTTTTAAAAAAATTTAATTCAACTGAACCAAATTAAAATTAAAAAAAAGTTCAAATTGAAGCAAACTGAATGACCACAACACGCACTCACGCAGGGAAGATGCTGTGTGTGTTTCTTAGGTCGTGCAAGTGTTGAATGGGAGAGGAAAAACGGTAAGGAATCTTTGCTGTCATGTCATTTGAAAAACTTGGCTATATTAATGATTAAGGTTTTGTTCCCAAGTAGTCAAAGATCAGTTTCAAAGTGTAGCTGTTCTGTAAACTAATTATCAGTTTCAAAGTGTAGCTGTTCTGTAAACTAATTATTGATTGGTCGTTCAATTTCATCACACTATTCCAAATTGATCACAGAAATAATATCTTAATGCTTTCTCTGATTTTTATTATAAAATATATTTAGCGAAATCGTACATACCAATTAATATAAATAATTATGTTAATTGATGTTTTTAAATTTATAAAATAAAACTACAATTTATCAATTCTACTCTTTTTATTTGTCGTTAAATTTTGATGAAAATGTGAAAATATTATTCTACATCAAAACCTATATATCAATATTAACTAAAATAATAAATATCAATTGAAAAATTTGAAAAATTAAAAAAAATACACATTTTCATAATTTTTAATAAATTAAATAAAAATAATAATTTAACATCTTCTAGAAACTATAAAATATCTCGTGAAAAAATAATTTTTTTAAACTAGGTCTTATAATAACAACCGAGTATTGAGTATTAATTAACGTTTCCGTTTTTCAGAAATGTTAAATTGACTAGTTGAGCATTTTCATGCATGCCAGACCATCATTATTTAGAAATTGGTTGTGTACAGTGGATCTGTTTTGAAAAGGAAAAATATATAAGAGCAGCTTAGTACCACTCCATAGCACACACAGTCTGATTCTCTTCTTTTACAAATTAGGTTGTGAGTATCTCAATCCATTTGTTGTTTCTTCTTTTACTTAGAATAGAGATGGAGAACTATGAAATGGAGGGCCACAAGCCAATTTCATCATTTCAATTGTTACAAAAGACTATCCTTGGTGACACTAGCAGCTCCCAACCTCCTATCAATAACCCTCCAACAATGAATGAAGTTTCTTGTGTTTCCTCTGTCGATTCTAGATCAAAACTAGTTGAACAATTCCCTGAAGGAAAACCTAGTGATATGGCACTTAATTATGACCAATACATGAAGGATCTTAAAAAGCAAAGGAGGTAGGTTGCTTAATTTGAATTTCATGTTATACTTTACAATATGTGCATGTGTTTGGTTTACATATATATGCATGAAATTTAATCTATCTTCCTTAATTTCCCTGTAGAATCACATCAAAACGAGTTTCTTCTCTAAGATCTAGGCTCAAGAAGAAAATCTTTTTGGCCAATTTAGAAGTTCAAGCCACAACTTTGGAGGTGATTAGTTTTATTAACATTTTAAAATCAATGTTATTAACAATTCCTTTATTTTTTTAAGATTTATTTTTTAATTGAGTTAAATAATGTAGTGTGATAATGCATTTAAACCTTTTTAATGAGATAAGACTTTGATTATATTGTTGTAATTTAATTACTGAGGTGAGTCTAATCACAATGGTAAGATCACTTTTTGTAACTTGATTGTTAGGAATCAATTTTTGGTAATAACCTTCATGAGGATAAAATTGTTTATCAACTTTTTTCATACTAATTAATATTAATTTGAGTATGGCTAAGTAGCCCATCAAAACTTTCAAACATTTTTTTTAATGCCATGATTGTTAGGAATCAATTTTTGGTAATAACCTTTATGGGGATAAAATTGTTTATCAACTTTTTTCACACTATTCAAATCAATATTTATTTGAGTATTGCTAAGTAGTCCATCACAACTTTGAACACATTTTTTTATGACATGATTATATATAATGCATTTCTATGTGTTTGTGTATACACGTGTAGAACCAATTGGCCAGACTTAAATCACTAGAGGCTTTCCACCAAAATCAGAAGCAAATGATGATGGTGGAAGAACATGCATTGTGTCAGGAAATTGAATTTCTTGAGAAAGAGAAATTACTCAGAGATGGTAATTAACGTTATTACTCTCGCACTAATCCCCGTCTTATCTTTGACATGTGAATTTGTTTGTATGTGTTTAGTTAAAATAATTTCACTAATTTTAATACACTAACTTTTTAGTTGAAGATGAGAAGAACATTCGTGAAGCGAATAGGCTGAAGGAACTCCAGATAAAGAAAAATGAGCAAGTGGAATCATGGTTGCTGAATAGAAAACATGTTGTGTCTGATGATCAAATGTCAAATTGTTATGCAAACTCATATCAAGGTAACAACTAAGCCGAGTGTTTTTCTTTTTAATGCTTGCAACACCACTGACATATAAGATTGATTGATAACTATAAATTATTACAATGAAAACTCGTATGTTAATATGGATTTTAAGGGAAACACATGTTACAAATAATTATTTGTAGAAATAGGTCGACTATTACATACGAAAATGATAAAGAAAATGCAAGGATTTGTTTAGAAAACATTCTCTAGATAGAAGAACCTCTAGGAAAAAAAATAGGGAAAAAAATTAAAATAAACTTCTTCATAAAATAAAACTAATTTATACATAAATTAAAAATAATATTTAAAAAAATGAACAGAAGAGAGTTTCTGTAAATGAATATTGCCCTTGTCACATAAAAATAATTAACTATTACACTTTAAATATAAAACTTTAACAGAACTTATCATTAAAATTATAGAAACTTGTACATACATATATTTTCATTTGAGATTTTCTTACATGTCCCTTGCTTAAAGTCACAGGAAATGGAGTGGAGACTCCGTACATACCACCACAATCAAGTCAAATGTGGATATATGGTATTCCAAACATGGATGAAACATTTGTGACTCTGCCCAACTTTATGGGATCGATGGATCAGAGGAATCATATAAGCAATGAATATGCTTCGAATCCTAACCTTAATTAGCCATCACTTTTCATGAAACTTAGGGCTGTTTGCATAGGATTGTCATTTGGTGGTTCATCTCATGTTATGCTTGTTTTTAAAACATTTTGGCTATGTTGCGAGAATCAATTTCCAGTTTTACAACTTTGAATTTGTGACTTGAAATTTGTATGGTTGGTTGCGTCTCTCATGAGAACTAATACATTTATAATTGTGGTTCCTAGAAGTGGTTGTGGCCCACAGTCACAAATAACATCTTTTAATGATAATTGCAGGATTTCAAAATGTATTTTTTTTTTATATTTATAATGAGGGTTAATATATAGTTAATTTTTTTTATTAAGAATTATTTTATTGTTGTTAATTGTAGTTGATTTAAATGATAAATGTCTAATTCACTTTAACTAAAGTTTCAGTTAATCTAAACTTTCTGTGTATACAAATAGGAAAAAAAACATCATTATAAAAGTTATTTAGATAAATATAATATAAATTAGCCTACTAAATACCAAAAATAAATACTACTTTAATAAAAAAAAATAATGGCCAGCTAAAATCATTCTTCATAGTTGTTTTAACTAATATTTTATCTTGTACAATACATGATAAATTTTTATTGTATAATACAAAAAATGATAATAATGAAATAATTTATGCAATAAAAATTATATTATAAATCAAAATGACAATAAATAAATATTACCATATAAATTATATATTAATTTTATGATAAATAATTTACATTGTGATACAAAAAAAAAATTATCTACTTATAATGTATTTAAAAATATAGAATTCTAATTTGAAAATGGAAAAGATAATGATAAGTTAAAAGTCATGAGAAGTTAAAAAAATACTAAAATATTCACATGAACCTAGGCACACCAATCATAAAATAATTACTCAAATAATCAATTATGCAATTCAATTATTTTAAGACAAATAACTATAGTATTTGGAGGTGTTCATAACTCGTCCAAAAGACACACAAGTAAAAACTTATAAGATTAAAAATATTCATAACTTATCCAAAAAAAAAACACACGGGTGTAAATTTGTAAGACAACTCTAAGTTGATTCACATTTATAAGCGAGTCAACTCACTTTTATATTAGATTTTCAACAAGTTTTTCTAACGCACGAATGTTCAAAGAGGCAAGAAAAACAAAAGCGTGTTAGTTTTACATAATAGACTCTTTTAAATTAGTAAAGGTCTTATTGGGTTAATAGGAACACAAGTCCAAAAACTTAAAATAAATTTTATTTCATTAGAAGTCTTTATCTCATTTTTCTAAAACTCTCATTTAATTATAAACCCATTTAAGACATCCGCCTATAACTTCTCCAAAACATTTTACTTAATTAAATTTCTTATTTTATTTCATTTTACAAAAATTGGTGTGTTACAGAGTGAACTTAACTTCCCATGTAAACCCGACCTTCAACGATTCTTCAACCTGTGTGTCTCTCGATTTCTTGTGAGAGCTCTAAAGTCATCCTTTTCCTCTTGTTACAAATTTTGTTTCACAGACACAGAGGGTCCCACTTCCGAGGGCTGCTTTTCTTTTTCCTAATTTGTATCGTGGTGCAGTACTGTACCTAGCTTCAATCTTGCCACCCATTTCATCTTTTCTCAAATAATCTAATATGAAAGTTTTCAAAAGTGCACAAATTTGATCAAGTTACAAAAATATGGAACTTACAAGGACTACACTTTTGGTTTGTGTAGTTATCATAATTTAATTAATAATTAAATAATTTGAAAAAATAATGTTCAAATTTTAATTTTTAGGAAGGTAATTTAAGAAGATATATCAATAAGGAATTAAAGATAATTTAAAGAGGATAGTTAAGAGAAGATTATTAATTAAAAGAGAATAATTCAAGAAGGAATCAAGATAATAAAAGAAAACTAGTTTAGATAATATTTTAAAGGTATTTTAGGATTGGAATTTTCACATCAATTAGACTTCTCATTATTCTAATTCAATTCACTAGTGCAAAAGAGGCTTTTTACGTTAGTTATTTTAAGGTTTTTACGTCCGAAAAACTTCTGACGTAAAAGCCGGAGACGTAAATTTACGTCAGCGTTATAGAATGACGTAAATTTACGTCGAAGATTAGCTAACACCGACGTAAAAAAGTTACAAAAACCCAAAAAAAATTATGCTGGAACGGCCCGTTCTGCAAGGAGAACGACCCGTTCTGAAAGGAGAACGGCCCGTTCTCCTTACAGAAAGGCCCGTTCTCCTTGCAAAACGGGTCGTTCTCCTTGCAGAACGGCCCGTTCTCCTTGCTGAGGGTAGTCCATATTCAGGATCCAGAAGGCCTTGTACAAATTTTTGCTCCTGTCTGCAGCCAAAGATAAACATTACAAAACCTTCGAACAGAATAAAGAAAGGAGGGAAGAAGATAAGAAAGGAACCTTCGAACGTAGGAAAGGAGCGAAGAACGGGAACGAAATCTGAATGCTCCCAAACAATGGCGTTACGTGTTGGCTGCGAAATCTGAACGAAATCTGGTGAAGAATGGAGAGGCGTTACGTGTTGGCTGCGAAGCAGGGAGAGCGGGAAGGAAATCTGGTGAAGAATGGGAAAGAATGGAGAGGCGCTACGCAACTTAAATTCAAAAATTCAACTTGAATTTACGTAAATTCAACAATCTACGTCGGGTGTAGCTGAGGTCCGACGTAGATTGTTGAATTTACGTCGGTCCCTTTGTTGTCCGACGTAAAAAAATTTGCGTTATTTTCAAAAATGCCACCGCGTCGTTTTTACGTCGGATATGTTGTAGTCTGACGTGAAAATACAGACGTAAAAAGTCTCTTTTGCACTAGTGATTAATTTGAGTTCATAAAAAGTTATGTGGAGACAAATTAACCTAAGGTAGCATTTGTTCTCTTTCAAGTATACAAAGGTATATAACTAAATTTATTCTTATATATTGTGATGATAATTATGTTTAATTAAACTCATTAAATTTTATGCTGATTTTATTTTATTATCTTAGGATTAATTCCACTATGTGAGTTAAATTAAAACCTAGGTTCTTCAATTGTATGTTTAACACGATAAGTTCTCATTTCAATTATTTCTCATGTTTTTCTAATTATGTTAGACAGTAACTATTGTCATAAGCTAAGGCCCAAACCTATATAAACAGAGACTACTCACATATTTCCGTTAGCGATTCTCAAGAATGAATATCGGAAGAAAAATAAAATCCCTTGACTGTCGCTCTCAATCTCAAACATAAAAATGACCGAATCGCTTTTTCAGCCTTTCTCATCACTATTTAAATCCTAGGAAGTAACAAAAATTCAATTACAAAAGATTGAAAACTTAAAATATGAAAATCAGAAACAAGCTAATTGGCATGCCCGTTCCAATTGCCTCTAGGGATGGCAAATAAACCCGTACCCGTGGGTAATACCCAAATAACAATATATATATATATAATAGGTAATGTGTGTACTTTCAGTAATAGTAGAATAATAATGTAAAATATATGAGTAGTTTGTAATTATGTACATATTTATTGTAAATATTTTAAGATCTTTGAAAGTTAGTTATGTGTATGTAAGTTTGAAAATTTTCTCTTATTACTCATTTTTGTTCTCAATTATAAATATATATATATATATATATGAGAAAAATAAAATACACATTCAAGAATTTTAACAAGAACGAATTTTCTTGAGTTTTGAGGGGAAAAAAACAATTACAACTATAGAAACATCAAATAGCTTTTCAATTTCAATCAAGAAGCAGTGCAGCACTGAATTCTTGAACAATGTTTTTGGCAAAGAAGGAGTTTTGACCGCCCTGGTAGTGCAAGGAGAAAATGACCACAAGAGTCGCAGAGACAAAAGCGTTTACCTTAAAGAAGCGGAGAACAAAGGACGGAACGGAAGAGAACCCAGAAACTGATAGGAAAGCTTAAAAGCAGATCAGTTATTGAGTCATGTGAATCCAGTTTACCACCAAACAGCACTCCTGAAAGTGAAATAATGGGCACACAAAACATTAGTGATCGAGTGGATATTAACCTATGTCACATATGACCACATCACCTTTTCCCTTAAATGCAATCAATATCCCTATCAAATACATTACAAAAAGAAAAATACCCGATTTTGAAAACAAGAACACGCCAGTTCAAGAAACAACCAGCCGGTCTTGAAAACAAGAACATGCAAGTTCAAGAAAGAACTTGAACACAGACACAGGAATGAAAAGCAGAGTCTGAATTGCAGAAACAGAAGAAAAGGGAAAGAACAGTCTAGACATCTAACCGAAGATGAGGCATTGGCGTGTGGCAGTGCGAAGAAACAGAGAGACTCTAGACAGTGGAAACGAATGAAGAGTGAGAGAAGAGAGTGACTCTTGAGGGTGGAAATGAGAGAAGAAAGTGACACGAAACATTTATATAGAGAGACAGAAGAAACGGTCACGCGACACGGTAGAGAATTAGTGCTGTGAAAGAGAGAAAATGTATGTTTATAAATAAGACATGCGCGGGTAGAATAAAGAAATATTTTTTTAAAAATAAAAAAGTAATGTCTCTGTACAGACATTAAAATATTAAAATATTTATTTTTATAATTTTATTTATTCTAAATGAATTATTTGGTGAAATTTTATTTGAAAATATTAAAATATTTATTTAGTAATATTTTAATTCTCAAAATTTTTAAAATTAATAAATGTTCATCAACATGAATAAAAATAAAATATTTTTATGAATTCCTAATATTTTAATTTTTAAAAATAAAATACAAACTTAATTAGAATTTGAATCTTTCATTTTAATTTTTGATTTTTTATCCTCTAAATTTTAAAAATATAACTTTGAAACTACCAATTTAAAAAATTTCACTTAGTTTTGTTAAATTGTTTATGTTATACTTCTATTCAATATTCTCATTTTCAATTTATAATTTAGCACAATATACAATCTTTTATATTATCATTTTTTAAAAAAAATAAAATAAATAATAATTAATTAAAAAGGACAAATAGTTATTTTTGTTTCTTTTTATTTTATCACTAAATTAAAAAATTAAAAACATGTTTTAGTTATGTTCATGAAAATCGTATAAAATCAAATTTAAAATTAATTTTCGTTTGTAAATAGAAGAATACTTATTTTTATTTTCCATGAATAAAAGATAATAAAGCAACCCAAAATCGATGAAAAAATATGAAAATATTACAAATGAAAAAGAGTGACCTCAATGTCTGAAATACAATTATAAATGTTTGATGTAAATTGTTTAAA